TTTTTTTTTTTAACTTTTCAACGACATATTTCATTCACTTCTATCAAAATATGCTAAAAAAATTGAATTTAAAAAAAATAAAAATAAAAATAAAATGAGGACTATGCTATAAAATGATGAGGCATATTAAGATGTTGATGTGTCCAAAAGATGAAAGATGATTTCAAAGGGATGAGGATAACGCTAAACCTCTAAGGGTTAAGTTAGGTTTTCGAGGATTAGTCCACTCTGAAGATTTAGAACATGTGTTGGAAAGTGTTTACTGTTTATACACAATTCAAATTATAAATAGATAAAAATCATCGAAGGTTAAGTGAGTATACTTGTAGGTACTTCAAAATATGTGAATAAAAAATAATTTGAATGTTCATAAACAGTTTTATGACACATAAGCCATACCCGAGCTTAATAGGTTGTTGAGAGTTAGTCATGGGAACGAGAATATGTCTAGGATGAGGCCTAGCCCATCAGAATGAGGTTGAGTACATAAGGAAGTTAATGCGTCGAGGATGAAGCCAAGCTCATCAGGTCAAGCTTCTGTTAGGAGTATGACTCAAATATGAGTCTTTTGAAGAGGTGTATTCAACTTGGATTGGGAGAATATTAACTTAGGGTTTAATGAAACTAAGTTGAATAAGGAAATAAAATCATGTTGAAATTGGGTATCCTAATTGTAATATATTTTCTTGCTTTTTAAGACTCTTCTAGGGTTAGCCTATAAATACGAGGTTCCTCTGGTCAGTTTGTAGAGAGTAACATAGAAGCAGTATTGCTAATCTGTTTTGTGTTCTCCATACTGTTGAATTAATAAATATCGTTCCCTGTGTTTACCTCTTGTGTTCTTTCTTTACAAATTCAATCTTGTGTTTTCGTGGTATGATCTAGCATACTTCAATATTGTCATTAAATCTCGTTGTTCATAATTCGGTTTGGAATCAACGTGTATTATTGGAGCTTCCGTCCCCAACAAGTGGTATCAGAGCAAGGTTGTTGATTTTCTATGGATTGGTTGAGATTTTTTCGAGATAGTTGGGTTGAAGTATGATATTTCACAACTAGATCGCAATACAATATTTTCTTTATGGCAAGTAAAGATGAAAGCTGTTCTAGCGCAATTGGGTTTGGACGATGCGTTGCTGGATTTTGAAAAGATGCTAGCTAATTGGACAACAGAGGAGAAACAATGGAAAGATCGGAAGGTCGTTTCATTGATTCATCTTCATCTGTCCAACAATATTCTGCAAGATGTCTTGAAGGAGAAAACGACGGCTGCTTTGTAGTTGAAGTTGGAGCAGTTGTGTATGATTAAGAGTTTTACAAGTAAACTAGCTCTCAAGCAGAAGCTGTATTCACATC